GCTTGTTTTTCGTTGAGACATAATGGTTTTTCGACCAAGACATGTTTACCATTCTCCAGCATAAGTGTAGCGACCTCTAAATGTTGTGGATTCAATGTACCCACGTAAACCACCTCAATGTCTTGATCTTGGGCCAATTCTAAATAGCTACCGTATGCTTTTTTCACACCAAATTTCTTTGCAAACTCTTTAGCTCGATTCAAATCACGAGCAGCTACTGCAACTAAATCGTGATCATCCTTATTGAGTGTATTTACGGCGTTTACAAAGTCCTGTGTTATTTTACCAGCAGCTGCGATTCCCCATTTCAAAGCCATTTTGCACTAAATTTCAATGCGATTTTATAAATGAACAACTTACTTCTGAAAGGACTCAAATGCGTTGGTCGCTTTATATAATAAATTAAATTGATATCTTATCAAGATAGAATGGAAAAAATTGTTTCAAATGACATCAAGTGTCCATTTATAGAACGAGTGCTTCAAGCAAATTAACAAAACAAAAATAAACAATGATGATAATAATGATTGCGGTGACGTAAGTGATACACCGACAGAAGCGTGATGAGTGGAAAATTGGATGTAGTGGAAAATATTATAACTTTACAAAATAAGCTATTATACAACAAAAAATCAAGTTTTGGTTAGTTATAAATATCATCCTAGCGAAATTTTATTCAAAAAATCTTACGAATATTCAACGTTCAGAGTCATAGTATCACCATGATGATATCTATGAATAAAATATACCAAATACCAAGTAAATTTCCAATCAAACCACAAATAAATTCAGGCACTTGATTCTTTTTTATTTGCATGTTAAAAAAATGAAAAAATTGAGTTGCATTCAGAGTATGTATTAGTTAGCGTAATTCTATTGAACATTACAATAAAAATTAGTTTAGTCGTCTTCTGCATATTTGACGCCGATTTGTTTGCGAATTTCATCTTGAATGCGAGCAATCAACAAACTTTCGTTGTGCGTGACATTTTCACTTTCCTTTTCGCCTCCACGAATGCATTTGCGCACCTCATCTGCCTCGTATCTCAAGCCACAGCTATTGATATGAATGAATTCATGTTCGGCATCTGGTAGAGGCCATGTTTTTTCAGTTCCATCGATGTCAATAATGGATGTAGGGCACCAAAATGATGGAATCTAAGAAAAAAGAACGAAATTCATCGTATATCAATTATTACACTGAATTTTGTAGTCATTTACCGTGATTTTTCCTTTTGTTCCAACAATTGTGGCTGTGTTGCTCAGTGTTTGTAAGCCGCTTGTTTTGATTTTTCCAATTTTGTTATCCCCATAGTTGATTTCACCCATTACTTCAACATCGACTCCGTCATCATTAAGCGTCCCCGTGGCGGTTACTGATTTTGGTACTTGTTGAAATGCCCATTGACAAAACTGAATGACGTAAACTCCCAAGTCCAACACGGTACCTCCACCAAGTCCCTTTTTTCTATTAACGAAAATAGTTTTTTTTAAAATTGAAATAAAAACGACCAAATGAAAATGTCTTACGCTAATCGGTCGATATTATTTAAGCCACCGAATCCGAATTCAGCTTCAACAGTCACAATATCTCCGAGCATTCCATTTTGAATTTGCTTACGAACATATTGATAACTCGGGAACATACGTGACCAAATCGCTTCCATAAGGAAGAGTTTCTTTCGTTCAGCATATGTGATGAGTTTGTGTGCTTGTTTTTCGTTGAGACATAATGGTTTTTCGACCAAGACATGTTTATCATTCTCCAGCATAAGTGTAGCGACCTCTAAATGTTGTGGATTCAATGTACCCACGTAAACCACCTCAATGTCTCGATCTTGGGCCAATTCTAAATAGCTACCGTATGCTTTTTTCACGCCAAACTTCTTTGCAAATTCTTCGGCTCGGCTCAAATCACGAGCAGCTACTGCAACTAATTCGTGGTCATCGGCGTTGAGCGTATTCACGGCATTTGCAAAGTCCTGCGATATTTTACCAGCAGCCGCGATTCCCCATTTCAATGCCATTCTGAATTATCTACTGTAAACAAAACCAAATAGTTTCAAAAACTTATGTAACGAACGGCTTTCTTATTTTAAATTATACTAAATAAGGAAATTTTTATTGGCATGCATAGGCAAACTTTGATAACGTATCACAAATATATTGATCTCACGGTGAAGGAATGTTTCACAGCAAAAGCATGCAAGATGAAAAATCCACACAATTATTGAATAGGTACTTACACGTTTTAATAAAGACTTGCCAAAAAATAATATAAATGATTATAGTTGACTCCTTATGATTTAGTAGTTAATTCGAAATAAATTGACAGTCGACACATTCATTCGGAGTAATATACGTCTCTGAATTTTGGGGTGCGTTCTTTTTGTTTACCTTCCCGCAATCAAAAAAGTGGAACAGCTGCTGTTTTAGTGATTTTTTAAAAAAATAAAATTCGCTTTTTGTTGTCGTTTATCATCAAAAGTAGACGATTTGATGTTGTTTTTAGAGATTGCCTTAATTTCATTTCAATTCAAATGAAATTTATCTGCGAATATAAACTCTGCATTGAATGATCAATTTTGTTTTCTTTGCCGTTTTTCTTTAAGCTTCAAAATCATTCACAAAGTAGATTCTACAAAGGAAATGATGTCAAAACAAGAAATAAGTTAAATCTTTTAAAAACAATGAATATGTCGTTTTATTTGCTGAAAAAAGGCAATTCCAAACAAAATAGTGTCAAATTGCTTTCTTTCCACGAGTGCGTTCGTGCGTTTGCAATGAATGTGATATTATTTACTCAAAAGTCTGTGTGTTACATAGCACCACACAAAATTTTCCAGTCTGGAAACAACACGAGTGACATTTGTTATCATCCAAGCACATTGATGCTCTGTGTATTGTTTTCACCTGTGAAATGCGATGTACACAAAAAATATTCAAAATATTTGTATTGCGCTTGCGTTGTAATCGTATAGGAATGAGACACTTTGACAATTTCCATCACACAATGAACCGTAGACAAGTTGGGCGAGTCGAAAATTAATTGAATTAGTTCTAATTTAAGATAAATTTGTAAAAAAAATAGTTACCAAACCACTTAGTTACAAATAATGAATTAAAAATTCCACAAAAGTGATACGCACAGTTACCAAAGTGATGAAAAAATGTTAAAACAAGAGAATTTAGCAGCAAATTTCTGTGGTTTATTGACACGCCACTATAATTATCGAAAATCAGCAATAGAATGGCGTATTTTGGGCCAAGAACAAGACGGTTCGATGCTTGCATCATGGATTTCATTATCGCTTAATGAGACGCCAATCGAACGAAGTCACATTGGCCTCTACAATGCAATGGAAAAGAAATTTCAAATTTTGCATTCGTTTGATAAGCGTGAGAATTGCATTCAGGCATCAGTCAATAATAGTCGTACTTTATTGACATATGTGGTAAAAGATATTCGCACAAAGTACACTGCCAGCAATGCCGAATGTATTTCGGAATTTATTTATATACCGTACATTGTTGAAGTGAAGACGAATAGTGATGCACCATCGAAATGTAAACCAAAATGTCTATTGCTGGATGGTTCAAAGAAACAAGTAATGACACAGTTTTTATGGCAGAAAAAATCGATATTTGAAAAAACATACGAAGACAAAGTCTTGCTGTTCATTCATGATGATTGCATTTCAATGCTCAAAACAAAATTGATAAAAATCGATGGCGATGGTGACGGTGGGAAAATTGATTTAAAAAATGTTGATATCTGGGCACTGGATATCGATTCAATCTCACGTGAAATAATTGTCAGACATTTTATATGGGCCCAATGGGATTCAAGTACGCAAGCATTGTTTTATATTCATTTGAAACCGACGGTGAAAAGTTCGTTGGAGAAAGATGACGAGAACCTTAAAGAGAATGATACTTCAACAACAACAACACTTTCGGCACATCAATTTCATGAGAATTTACCGCGAGAGACTGTGGTAAGTGATAAATTTTTTGACAGTTCGGTAATATTGATTTTTATCATTGAAATTTTCTCTTTTTTTAGATGAACATTCCATTAAATTTGCCAAATATTCCATTGACATCATCAGCGCCAGTATATGATGATGATACAGTTCCTCTTCGTATTCACGATTCCTCGTTAAATTTGATCATCGTAACCGATCAGTCTGGAATGTTATTCGTATGCCATTATTGTATTTATCAACCGATTAATTTACCCGACGAGGAGCTCGATTCAGCCATTGTATCGCCCAGTGAAAGTGAATTAAAACATGACATTGAACCGACACAATCTGATTCCCATGTACAAGCAGCCACCGTTCATTTTAGCTATTCGGTGACTCTTCTTCATCAAAATTGTATCATACATTGTGCAATTCCAGGGATACCATTGGAAAAGGCCAAATTCATGAAGCCAACATTTACTATGCACGGTGATCACATGCTTGTTTATCAACCGGATATTTTTTGTCATTTGCTTGATGTTGGTTTAACACATGAACCATGCTGTCACATTGTTTGTGCGCCGAATTTCAATTCACAAACCGAACAGCGTCTAACGCATCTGGTGCCATGTTTGAAATGGGGTTCGATTGCATTCGATACAAACACATTGAATTTGATTTCGATTAATGTTCCAAAATCGCATTTGATCGATGCATTCAAAACTAATAAATCAATTGACAATCGCTTGAGCATTCTACATTATTTCCTGGTTCATTCGAATGACATGGATATTCTATCGGAGGTATGGGTTTCTCAATTCGATTATCTAGAATGGAATGTATCAAAATTTCATCTTTTTCAGCTCATCGCAATCATAATGGAAGCGGCGGCAGGCTTGGATACCGTTCCACTTTTAAAAGAAGCCTTCATAGCTGGCACGTATGCATCAACTATGAAAAGTCTGCCAAAGGATGCATTGCCATTAGCGCGACTATTGCCATTGACATCGTGCAATACGAAGAAACCACTGCAGGCCAAAATTAGCAATCTTTCCAATGGAATTTCACATGAAATCCTTCACAGTACGACGATGATGTTGCTATCGCCGCAACAACGTTTGTCACCATTTAAAGTGGATATTTGGACTAAATTGTGGGAGCGTTTGAATGATATAAATAAAACACAACCACGATTTGCGCATGAAATCGTTGTTGAAAAACTTATGTATTCATTGGCATGCTATCAACCGGAAGCATTGTCGCGATGCACAACACCAATGTCACCGGGCGGACCGTTGTCACCAATGAATTTCATCGATTATGGATCTCGTCGTTTAAGCTCGAATAATGTATTACCATTTTTGGAAATTGAAACGTCTACCGCAACGAAACAGGAACATGTCATATCGGTTGTAAGTGTACCACATCAGATAAATCACTTTCGAAGTCATTCTTTAAAAATATGCTTTTCTTTCAGAATCTTCGTGAGCTGAGTGTTTATTTGGTAAAGCACACTGCGAAACAAAATACCGGATTTCGCTGGTTGAAAGACGCTCACATCGTTCAAGCACCCAGTCATGTCAATACAGTTGCATCACAATATGCAGCCGCTCAATTGGAATTATCTCGTGCTCTCTGCGTTTTTGTTTGCCGGGCTGCTGGTGTTGATGCTCGATTTGCACCATGCCGTGGCTTTACATTAATGTAAGAAAGGCATTGAGTTTTCCATCAATTCGATACGCTTTTGGTGACAATATTTTTTTATTTTTGACACTTTTAGTGATACTTTGCCGGTGCATCAGCTGAAGAAATTGTTTTTAATCCTTGAACGCTACTTCAGTGCAATTGAATCAATTGCCTTTCCACTTCCACAAGGTTTTTCGGCATTTTTTGCATATCTTGGCTATCACGCACTCGACTTCAAGACATTTTTGCAATATGTGGACCATAATGTATTCGAACTACAAATCGATGTTCTTAATGGCATTTTTAAAGGTATTTTATATGGATTTTTGTTCAATTTATTGAATTAATCATTCAATATCATTAATTTAGCAATTGGAAGTGACTCACCAAAAGCGGCCGAAAGAAAACATTTGATTTTATCGAAAGTACCGCGTTCTCGTTCATATCGGATCCTAAAAAATCTGAACGATTCACGTACATTACGTGTATTGGGTCGGGATCATGCCAACGCAATATTGTCGGGTGCCAACAGTGCAAATTCACGGAAAAACTCGAAAACTGTGTCAATCGGTAAGATATATGTGTTAAAATCAAAATCATTTTCATCATTCAGTTCATTGGAACACGTCTTCGTTTCCACATGCATCACATTCATTTTAATTTTTTAAGTAGCAAAACCTGCGACTTACCCCTGCTATATTCAAATGAGCGACAACGATTCAATAGATAGCAGTAATTGGGAAAGTAGTTGCACTTTCAATGCTGGCACATTCAATTCAAAGTCATCAAAATTGTGTGAATGTTTTGTTGAAATCATTGTATACGCATTTATTCTGTTTATTTCGATTGTTATTTTGTTCATTGTCATTTTTCAAGGAATATTTTTTGAATGGGTTCGAAATTAACCATTCACTGCTTATGTTATTAACATAAAATTCATTTCAGTCATTATGTAATAAACATTTTGTTAAATAAATCGTTATGTATAATTTCAATTTTTTATTTTGTTTTCGCAAAAGCACCTTTTTTGTTTGAGAGGAAAAGGGTCGAATTAAACAAAAATTATTCACATTTTTTTTAAAGGTCGACAAAAGGAAGATGAGAAATTCTCACCGTTGGACACATTTTTGGATTTATTAACAGCCAAGGCTAGCCTGAATGAGCTCGACTTCAACCTTTTGATTGAAACAACAATGCGCTCTCTCGAAGAATCACAAATTTAATTATTTATTTTGTAATCGACACCAAATCAGTTTTTTTTTGTACGGGGTTATACATTTACATCTTTAGAATTTTAAAATGAAATAAAACAAAGTACGATTCGATGTGCCTTATATCCGCTTATATCGCAAAAATTATATTTATATAAACACGGAACGGAAAAGAAACAAATCGCAGTTGGGTTGGATCAGAGTCGTCTAAATTTTTCGAATTTGCGGATGTAACAGCCGATAATCCACCAAAAAATTGGGCCCGGTCAAAATCGAATCGTGCTTTGTTTTATTTAATTTTAAAATCATAAAACTTTGGATAACCCTGTATATATTTGTTATTAATTTTTGTTCCATTGTGATGTTATTCATTTTTACCAGTACAATTATACAGTGTTCAATACATATAGATTATAATTTTGGTTTAAGGATTCGAAGGTACAATTTGGAAATAAAATCAGGTTTATTTGAAAATATTTGGAAATGAGTTTATTATCAACAATTCAAAATTTATTAATGGGGTGAATTGTTTTTAAAAATGTTACCTTACAACCTATCTAGGAGGGTGATAGAAGATCACCGGTGATGCTTTTATCTCCAACAAGAATTTTTTAAATAAAACTGTGCCCGCAACTACCAAGAAGTTGTTAATAAGCAGGTATTATTAGGAATAATTTTCTTCTGAACATATATAAAAAGATCTGTAAAAAATGACAGAAAATAAAATTTCTCAAATTCTATTGGTGCTTAATCTTCAAATAGTTTTTGTCGGTAAGCAAGAGAAGCTTGGATGATACCATGTATGCACCTCAAAAAATAGGAATTTAAAAAATTCATCGAAATAAAATCGGTCACTATATATTTTCATCATTTTGAGTTTTTTCCATACTTTAACGTTGTGCCACCATTAATTAATATGTTTTCGGGCCAAGTTCCATTTAATTCTGAGTCGAAACTTAATGCCAATTTCAAATCCCGAGGACTGATGACTCTCCGTTTTCGTAGACAAGCAACCACACAAGCAGCCTCCAACAATTCAGCGGTTATATATTCCAAGCCAGCAGCCAAGTATACTGATGCATCATTTTGAATACGACTGGCATACTCTCCTTCACGCAATAAACGATGAATATGACTGATGGAAAATTGAAGACCAGCATCATTTGAACTTGGCATTAAATTGTTTTTACCTGCGTTGTCACGTTTGGGCATTGTTATTCGGTTTTCTTTCAGCTTATTTTGCTCAAATAACAAAATCTAAATTTTCAAATTAGAACGAAAATCTCTTTAAGTTGCCGTTTCAATGCTATTTAATGTTTTGATCTGGTCCAAAATATGAAGTACACACAAACGGTTTTGGAATATTTCTGTAGAATAGACACCAAAGGATTCTTCCTTATATTTTACATTTGAAACTGTATAATTTGTTGAAACATAAAAATTTACTGAAGTTATTAATAAAGTCATAGATTACTGCGATGATCAAAATAAGAAATATTGACTAGTTTACACAAGTAGAAGAAAATTGATTAACTTGGCGCCGATTTAACTTCTATTTTATATTACTGATGCATGCTTCGAGGGGTAAAATAGCATTTTAATTGACTAAATTTAATTTAGAATAGTTTTCCATTCCACTAATTTAAATTATTGCGCGAAATTCGTGTCGAAATGCATTTGACAGCTGACAGTTGCGCATTATCGAAATGTTTGTAAATCACAAAAATACCGTTTTGACGTTTCGTAACGCTGTCTTTGATTTGAGTTCGTAAAGTTATTGATATTTTCATACTAATACTGTTAAATTACTGTCTGGGTGATAATGTTAAATTAACAAGTTTTCGCTTAGTAAAAAAGTTGTTTCAATCAAAATGTATCCGAAATTGGTGACCTTTGGTAACGTTTTGTTAGATTTCACCTATAACATCGAACGGAATCCCGGTATTTTGTCGAAATACGGCATTCTTGATCCAAATGGACTAGGTGAATTTTCATCGGAGACATTATCAGCAGTGGCAAATGATGCAAATCAAACGTAAGTAAAGGATTTTTTTTGATTTTGAAGGCTACAAAATTTATGTTTGTTAAAAATTAAAAGGTGTGACTTTCTTTCATCACAAACGGGTGGATCGGCACTAAATACATCAAAATCTTTGTTACTTCTTGGTGAATCGGAGATTGTATTTTGTGGTGCAATCGGAAATGATTCGAATGGTGCATTAGTAAGGCGAAATTTGGAAGAAATTCATTTGAAAACCTGGTAAGAGTGTCATTTCATTTGATTTTCAAGATTATGTAATCGTCTCATATTTCAGTTTGCAAGTTATCAAAGACCATCCAACCGGAACGTGTGTTTGTTTAATCAACAAAGAGAATAGATGTTGCTATGCAAATATTGGTGCTTCAATTCACATCGATAGAGAGTATTTGCAATGTCAACGTTTATACGAACAACAATCTAATCCCGAAGCTAAGAGTCAAATTTACTACATTGAGGGTTTTTTCATAACCGGTCATCGATTTTCCGTGTGTAAATACATCGTTGATGAAGTATGTCGAACATCAAATGGCTTAAGAAGGTTTGCGACAAATTTAAGCGCGGGATATCTAATCACAAAGCATCCTCAAGAAATGAAATTTCTCGCCGAAAATGCGTCTATTTTGTTTGGAAACTACGATGAATTCAGCAAATTGGCCGAGATCTTTCGATTGTCTAGTACCGAAGCAGTAATCACTCATTTGATTGAAACCAAACCAAAAGAAATTGAGGACAAAATAATCATTTGCACACAAGGTGCCGAGAAAATTCTATATTCGTCCAGTTCACAAATGTTTATAAATAAGGAATTTCATTTTGAGTCCGTGCCAAAGGACAGAATAATTGATACGACTGGTTGTGGTGATGCATTCGTTGCCGGTTTCTTTTATGCATTTCTAAAAAATGAATCAACACCGAATTGTGTTGCGAAAGGTGTCGATGTTGCACAAAGAAAACTTACCTCAATCGGTGGCACATTATCCGATAGTAAATAATATTCAATTCACCTAGAACATACCTTTCACACAGAAAAGTGTGGAAAAATAAGAAAATGTTTGTCAAGCAATAAAAAAACCAAATAAATGTTCATGATTTAGTTTATCTTTCGAATATTCTATTTTATTTTGCGTACATAGTTTTTGTTTAATTATTTGAAATAATTTATTTCTGTAACACCTGTTTGTTTATTGATTCTTTTTTTTATCATTGAAGCGACATGAGATGAATTTGCTTTGTTTTGATTTAGGTGAATTGTTCAACTTGAATTAAGTTCGAATGACCACATGGTGAGAATGCTCAAAAAACTGTGTCAAAATTGCTTGTGGATGTCTTTTCATTAAAATATCATTCTCATGTCTTTTACAAATTGTATACAATAAAATATTGCTCGGTTGGTCATTGATCTGAATTCAATCAACAACTTTGTAAAAAATCAAATAATTTTCATCTTCATTTACAAAACAATCTGGTTATGTTCAAGCTTACAATTTATATTTACATTAGTTGATGTGGTCGATTTGTGATTTACGTTTCACCATACAACATCGATCGTTAAAATCTCTTTATCGTGTTATCAAAAACAGAAATTTTTTCAGAAATCATATACCCGGACTTACGCCAATTTGCGAAACAAAAAAAAATTATTTGCGGGTTTTACTGTTATTGGGTTTTGCTATTTTCTCGAAACCGATTTTTTTTTATTCAAAATGTTTGTGCCATCAAAATAATTAGTGCTCTTTTATATTGTAGTGTATAGTTATGTTAATTTAAAAAAAAATGAAGAAATCTGCTTATTTTGTCGACTAAGAAATCCCTTTTTTAAGTTCTATGTTTTATTATCTTGATAGTTTGTCTACGAGCTGATGAAAAAAGCACGGTAGGGATCGAATGAACCCGAGCATAGTTTCAAAATTAAACGCACAGTTTTGCTTTACGTTTCCATGTGAAAATATCTTGACTGACTTTGGATAATTTGAGACTGACCAAATGTATTTTTTCGGACCCCTCGATATTTGGGGTGAGACACATTTTGAGGTTTGATGCTGATCTTATAAGTCAATTTTGGATTATTTTATACAATTTTTTTTGGCTTGAATCAGTTGAAATTAACTCCAATTTCAGTCAAATTTGATCTAAAATTGACCGACTTAACCAACTAAATATTGATACATTTAGATATTTACATTGTCAGTCAGTGAAGATATTTTGACATGGAATATGTCTTGAAACTATTTTCAAGTCTTTAGAAAAGTAGCATCCAAGACCTTTTTTGGTCGTTAAAAAAACTGAATTCATGATGCAATTTTCATTATTATTATTTTTTTAAATTGAAATGTTGAAAATACAATCAAGCATGTGAAATTAAAATGACCGACTAATTTGGAACATAGTGAAAAAAATTCCGATGCCAAAGTCACGAGAAATAGTTCTAGATGCTTTGAAATTCAATTTGCTTGATTTTCATATACATTTGATGCTATTGATTTTCATACAAATTAATCATTCACATTTTATTTTCACAAAGATTTTATGTCATTCATTCTATTGCTATTAATTTCTTCTTAAAATTTGTGTTATTGTGTGTTTTTGCAATGTAAAAATTAAAAAAAAGGTACTAAATATTTTGTTTGTTTTTTTTTTCGGGAAAAGGCCCGATCGACTCAAAAATTGTTCAATACGGAAACAAAACCGACATGGTAAACTAATTTGGCGAAGAAAATAAGAAATGGATTGATTCAAATGAAAAAAAAGAAGCAAAATAATCATAATAATAATGATAGTAATAACAGTAACAATAATAACGTTAAATATAGTTTATAAATACATTGAACATAAGAGCTAATGGGTTTCATTCCAAAGAGAAAAAGTATGAAAAACAGTCGCATAAAATTTATCGAATTTTATTCCTTAAGAATGTATATATATAATATATCGCGCGCGTGTGTGTGTGTGTGTGTGTGTTACTGTTTTCTTGTAAATCGAAATTTTGCTTTCGACTGTTAATATGTTCAAAATTTTAAAATAATTATTCACATGTGATTGGGGAACAAATGCACGTGGACATTGTTTCAATTGATTATGTTTTACTTGCATTTAAGTGGTCAGCACTGAATCTTTTTGGAATAGTTCGTTTGATTTCTCATCTGCGGTGACATTTGAATCATCTGTTAGACTATAATTATGTGTGGCATTTAGTTTGTTTGCATAGTCCGATTCGAATCTCATATAGGCATGTGAATCATTGGACGATGTAGTAGTGGCACCCGTACCGACAACATCAACACTTGTCGATGGCACTGAATCAATTTGATGCGCCGCTAGATTATCATCGTTCAATAAACAATTTAAATCAACCGCTGACACCGACGTAATGTCGTTCACGTACTCATTGTACTTGCCGTCAAACTGATCGACAACATTTTTACAATCTTTGGAAATGACATTGGTGGCATTCGTTTGGTTTATGCTCAAAAAGTCTTCAGTCACATGATTATCAAACAAAGAACCATTATTATGAACACAATCCGTTGTGGACGCACCGTAATTTGAGCATGACGAAATACCATTTGGACCGTTTGGAATTGGTGTTGTTGGCGTTGTTGGGCCATTAATTAAGCCATTGTATGGAATATTTGTTGAATAATTTGTATAACTAGGAATTAATGATGATTGATTTGAGATGGCCATCGCATTGAAGTCTGTAAATGTTGTGGCTGCACTGCTTGTATAATAGCCCGAATTCGGATACATTAACGAGTAGCTGGCTTGTGTTGGATCCACTGTATAATCATTTCGAAATGCATAATGTAAATCCAATGGTGTTTCGGCCATTGATGTAACCGCACAATTTCGACTAGTATCATCCAGTTCATTCGGTGTATAATGGCTGTTAATTGTAACACCCGAAGACGATTGCATCGTTGTTGTTGGATATAAAATATTATTTGCAGGATTATATGTGATCAAACGGGTATTCATTCCGCCGGAATCAATCACCGAGTCTCCGTCATCACTTTCACGAAGCCGTAACCGTCCGTCATATGTGTGCAATGTATTCTGTTTGTCCGATTTCTTTTGTTTCTTCTCTAATTCCAGTCGCATGATTGTATGTATGAAATGCGTTCGGACACGTTTTGGATTGAATTCAAGACGACCGTATACATTTCCGCAACCATCCGTCGAACATCCACATGGAAAACTCGCTCGATCCACCTATGCGTACAAATGTTTCGATCAGTTAATTCAGATAATAATAATAATTTGTACTTCGACATAGTGAAAACAAAGACCTTACCTGACACTTAATTCCCGATTGACTGCACAAACACGTTTCTGGATCACAATAATCTCTACAACTACAACCGCAAATTTCTCTAGACGCTCTGATATCACGGCATTCATTCTTTTCGCTAGAGGCTATTTCATGAACACCAGCCGCTTTGAGTAAGGCTCTCCGTTGCTTTTGTGAAACTGGTTGTAAAAATCCAATTGTTTCGGTGTCTAATTCGGAGCTGCTATTATCACTTAAAATGTCTTCTTCGCTATCAGACTCTTCGGTCGATGAACGTGATCGATCATCAGTCGACGTTGTTGTGGTGGTTGTTGTTAATGTGGTCGTTGCTGTTGCCGTTGGTACAGTTAATTGATTTTGTAATTGACTTGGCGTCATCAGCACTGAATTCGGTAGCAATGCATTTAATGAACTTGTGCTTAGCGATGACGGCGGCCGTGGGCTGCGCTCAAGCATTTGTTGACGATGTATACGCTTCTGTTCGGCTATGTGTTCGTTTAATGTAAATGATTTCTCATCGATATGCTTTGAGGTCATTCCAAGTGTACAACCACCTTGTGACGGTACACATGTAAAACCTTGGATTCGTGGGAAGTAAAATACGGTTACATCGGTAAATTGAATATTTCGTTTCAGTTTTTTTGGTGCATCAACAACATCGATGTGGTCACTGGGGTGTGATCGCCGTTTTAAGTTACTTCGTGATGGACACACTGCACCTGTGAAAAAAATACGATTTAGTTAAAGAAAAAAAATGAATACACAGCTGTTATAGGAACCGTGGTGTGCGAACAATAAAGAAATGAGTTTCTTACCATTTGGCGAAGCAGATGTCTTGTCGGCCAGTAGCCCAGCGCATAATTCCAACCCCAAGCCCGAATCAGAGCCATCACTTCGAGAGCCTTCAACTTCTTCGGTAATTTCATCGTCTAACGTTAAGCCAATTTGATCAAATGACACATCACCAATGCCAACGTCATGGGTGGCATTCGTCTCACAATTTAACTCATTCACTGTTGGTTCCCTTCGTGTTGTTGCCGACACATTTGATGTTGATGTGGCTATTTCGATTGTATTATCGGCATACGTAACGGGAATTGTGAACGAATTTTTCAAACTATTTACATCTACGAGTATTATCTGTCCATCATCTGAGCTATCTAAATCGCTAAGATTCGCATTTCGCGTCGCATAACTGGTGCCCACTTCACCAAGTTCATCGTCCAATGCTAATGGATCTGCCAATGGATCTAATTCATCAATACTGTACATGCTATCAGTAGCAATCTCCTCTTCGTCTTCGTTTGAATTCATATCTGGTAAATTATTTTTCGATCTAAAGAATTTGGGGAAAATAACGAAAAGAAATCCATTAAAATCGTACACATTTACCGTAAATATGATGCAACTTACCCGAAAAAAGTTTCAGCATTTTTTTGTAAATTATTTAAAAATGATTTGAAAGGCCTTAGCATTATGCACTATAGCCCGATATATTCTTAGAGTTCTTCCTTTTATTTGCTTTTCACATACAAATCTGAAATTGAAAAAAAAAAAAAAACAAAAATTTGGTCAAAAGTTCAAATTCCAAATATTCACAGAAACTATCATGATTCATGAAAAAATCATACGATTTTCCGCCGAAAAAAATCACTTTTAAAAATCACAAATTTTATCGAACTATTTAAATTGAAAATCATCCTAATAAAATCGTCGCTCAACTCTTATTGAGAATGGAATTCGAAACGTGAGTATAAATTGTGTGCATGTGTGTATTTGAGAGAGGGAGATAAGAAGAAAAGCTTTGCTCATTGCGCTAATAAGGATTGTATGTCATATTCTTAACATACATATATCTGTATCTGTTCGTTGTTAACGGTTTTGTGTCATTTGAAAAGAAAAAAAATTGTAAAGTGATAGTTTGAATGGCTTTTGTTGGCACACAAAGTCCAACAAACTCTTCTTTTCATTTTTATGAATAATTAATACTTCAACTTGCACTTTAACTAGATTTGCCTTTGAGTTACTAACACTCCCTATTCAATCACCGCAAAAATGACAATTAATAAAATCAAATATTTTACTTTACTTTTTTTATTCAAATTTCCGCACCGTCGTTTGCACTAATTCGCAAAAAAATGGTTCGTTTTTCAAAAACTGAATCGAAGAAACCACAATGTATTACAAACTAAACGGTGTACGTTTGAAACGAAACAAAAATACGAATATGAAGAAACTTTTTTTCTCTGCCGCACATCGGGGATCGAAAAGCAGTGTAAAACGTAATGAGTTTTAGTTGAAAAACCAACACACCATAATACAGTATTTCTTCGGTGTTTTTTTTTTTGCTCTTCTATTGTCTGTCTCTTTCTGATTTCAAAGCGTATGTGCTTTACGAGCACTGCTGGTCGACCCAACAAATTTTCTCTTCGTTTGCGCTTTTGAAGATAAGCTACTGTATACAAAGAATTATGCAGAAACGAGAGAAAGAATGAGAGAAAAAAAAAAACGAAGACAAAAAAATGTGCATGTAGCGCGCGATGAAATAACGTTTCGAAAATACCATCATACACTAGATTTATACAGAAAACAGTGAAAAAATACACTTACTATCGCACATTTTCAATTCAATACACACATGAACACATAAATGAGCGCCCAACATTCAGTAGAAATAGAGCGAGAGAGAAGGATTCACATGCATGAAGTATTTGTAATACAAAAACACCGAACACACACTGCATAACACGATGAGAGTTCTCGTTCATTTCTACACACTTTTCGATTCTCTTTTTGACTATTTTTCACATGAAATTCGTATGTATTTTTTTGTGTGTTCACTTTGTTTTCTTCGTTCGCTTTGTAGCCTATGCCACTGACATTCGTATGCTTAGAGAATATTTTTTGCTTCTTTGAACACATACAAATGCAACACTGTTTCACAATCGATCGTACATCTGTGTATACGGTGTGCACGTTCAACAGGAAGATTAAAAATATGGTTAAACCTTTGCAAAACTCAAGCTACCTCATTGGTATTTTATCAAATCAATGCTTTTGGTAGACTCATATCAAGAAATTTGGAAAAAATTCCATAAAAAAAAATTCGCCATCCAAAAATGAAATAAAAAAAGTGATCAATGTTTCCTTTCGAAAAATGAAACACACTTATTGTAGTATTACCATATTAATGTGAAATAGTCACGCTGCGTTAGTGTGTGTCGGCGAACGTGCAAGCGTTGTGAAATCGTATTCACATACACAGTAAAAGAGAACGAATCAGAAATTGGTGGTGCCATTGTCGTTCAACATTTTTTATATGACATAATTACTGGCCAAATATTGCATGCCTTATCCAAACGTGTGTGTGCGTGTATATTTTTTTTGGGGGGGAGTTGTGAATGTGTGCACTCTAATTTTATGGGGCCAGTGCAGTCAACGTTTGATTCTTGGGAATATTTGCGCGCGTATGTCAAAACGTTAATTTAGACGAATGTGAATGAAACAACACACACATACATCGACAATGTTTAATTGACTGGTGTTTATGCGTGTGCGTAGATGTTTGTGTAATTGTTTGAAAAGTTCGTATCTTTGGGGAAAATGACGAAAACATTCAATTCTACTTACCAAAGGAATTTATTTTTCTCTTCTTTAAATTGTCTTTTATAAAGTTTTTGCACATATCTTCTCTCAGAAAACAGTCGCTCTTAAATTGTTCCATTAAAAAAAACCTAAATTGAATCATAAAATGCATAAAATCAAATCTATTTCAATGTCTTGTTGATTTCTTTGTTTTCATTTCACTTTGTTCAGGATTCCTTTTTATATTTGCACATTTTTCCACGTAAAATATAATCGCTATAGATAAATGTTTGCGTATAATATTGTTTTTGTTTATTTATTTTCGATTTAAGTTGAAATAATCTCACATGCACTCGATGAGAATAGCACTGTATGTCATTGTAGATCTTTTGTTGAATTAACATCAAAATACTGAATATAATTCCAAATTAAAAGTTGAAATGTTAAAAAAATGAACAGAAAATTAAATAAATCACGGATTGCACCGATTAAATCTCATGGATATGCGAAAATATTTGCACATTTTGCCTTTTTGGTCTTTAGTATACACAAACTTATCCTTAGCGCTATTGGATACATTTTATGACTGAGCTCTACGCGATGTTTTGCATTCATGTTGAAGTTACTCTTTAGGGTATCGCATGTCAACGCATTGCGACGCTTTCAAACGCAAATCATTGAAAACGCTACGTTACACATCAAATTGTACGTAATAAAAGTTATGCGTCATTGTTACTTCGCTTTGTATCTCAAACCAATTGAACAGTTTTGGTGAACAAACAACGCAAAAAGCAAAAACAACAATAGAGCGGACGGGAGCGACAGCGAGAGCGAGAGATGTGTAGATGAAGGAGGGAGCGTGTGACAAGTGCAACCGAAGTATACGAAGTCAATAGTTCGTAACGGGAAATACTGCGTCATTGCTTTCATTACTTATTTACACAAACTTTGAGAATTTCCGTTTTGGTTGTGTGTTGTGGCTTTCTTTTTTTTAAGGATTTCGCTCACGACATTTACATTTGAATGAAAAACGTAAATCAGTTTTATTCATTATTATTTTCCCCTCCACATTTCATTTAAAAGACTTTGTTGTATTCTATATTTCCTACTTTGTTTTTTTTTTTTTTAATTTGATTTTATTCAAAGACTAGTTCAAATCATTTGCTTATCAGATAAAATTAATAAAACTATACTATAGCGATACCAATTTTAGACAATAATTAATTTGTTCGCTTTTGTTCATTTTTTTTTTGTTCACATTTTATGTTTTGATAGTGACAAAAACCAAAATAGATATATATTGTATACTTATGAATTTGATATACTTGAGAATTGAGACTAGATGTATGTATTTTGGCATTGGATTGCTTATTTATGTCAAAAAAAGTAATAATATCACTTATAACCTAATGCAAGTGAATCGATTCATTTCAAATTTGCAAGGTGAAATTGAATGTTTCACACCGCAATCAGTCAATACTCATAGTTTGGCACACACGAAAATACAGTTTAAATTGTTCATATTGAATGTATGGAGCAATAACTATGGATATTAAATATATGAAATAAACATTCATAAATCTAAGTTTCATAAATTGTTTGACGCCTCTAAGTGATTGGCATCATTTTGAAGGTTTGCTCTTTTCAATATATCGTCATTGAATGCTCTTTTTGGACGATTCGTTGTATACTGAAGGTTTCATTCAATGTTGATTTATAGAGAATTCGGTAGATCTTGCATTGGTGTATTCAATAACTGTTGCAATTTTGCGGCAGCTGGGAATGATGCTAAATCTAATGGTGCAGCACCGGTTGTACTTTGAATGTAGGTCAAAAGGCGACGCAATTCTTCCAAAGCATTTTGTTGCATCTAAATAGAGACCGCGACACAGAGAGAAAGAGATTTTTAGTATTAAGCAAAGCGTAGGTGCTTCCCCACCCGTAAACTTACAAGAATATAGTTTTTGGCTAATAGAAGTGTGGCAATTTTCGATAGTTTTCGAACGCTTGGTGAATGAGCGTACGGAATAACACTTCGAAGTTCATCCAAAGCATCGTTCAAATCATGCATACGCCTACGTTCCCTTGCATTAATGTTCAGTCTAACCGATTTGCCTTGTCGATTTTTCACCTTTCCTTGACCACCAGCAGTCGGTGCTTGATGATGGCTTGGCGGCGTCCTAAAACACATATATAAATGGTACAACATATTACAAATGAAGTAAACCATAAAAACCGCATCAAAGTAAAAAACCAAATATATAAATACCGTTCTCGGCTGCCGCTTGGTAAATTTTCATCGGTTTGATGTTGAATTTGTGATGGTGATAAAGCGCTTTGTGCATAAAATCCACCGATACCAACGGCACCCAATGGTGTTCGTCGACCCGGAACACTTTGAGTTGGACTCGCCGCCGGTGCCGGTGGAATTTGTGAATTTTGCATCGAATGAGATGGAATGGTTGATGGCGGCGGTAGTGGTACTGATGATGACAGATGAAAGCCAAAATTTGGATTCATTGCTACAGCTTTCGTTGAAACACCTAGAACTGAATGAAAGAAAAAAAGGATTTTATAAGCACTAACGTAACTGATACACGCTCAAAAGTTTCGGCAAAGCTTCAAGCGTCTACTAATAGATGGCACAAGTGACAGCGTTGCAACAAGGATAACACACACAATTCTAAATAGAAAATATACACAAAAAATTCAATTTGATGCGATTGTGCGCTTGTACCAATTTATTTTTCAATACCACTGCTGTTTACAATGAAATTTGTAATCGAAAATGGAATTTTTTTTATTTCACTAACGAGATTGTAGAATGAAAAATTTTAGGAATTACCATTAAACAGAATATTCACTCGTCAACTTCGTGCAAATATTTCACAAAAATTGTTTGTTATTTCGGTTGTTGAAATGGCATACAAGAAATTGTTTTGCCTCCTCGGACGTTCGAGATGGAAAATATTTATTTCGAATTTTGTGTACAGTGGAAAAATTAATAAAATATCTACAATGGCACTCAGTCACAAAACACGTCAACCGCACTACACAAACAACAATAAATAAAAAAAAAAACCGGAGAATGAAAATGGACGATATAGACGAATAGAGCGAACAAGAGTGAGAGAAAGAGAGAAGGAGAGCGAGAGTAAAAAATCTCAGTTCATCATCTGTGATGATGAAGGCAATAACAAAAGCAACACCAGCAACATCGAGTCAAACATTATATTCATCATGAGAGCGTATTACATTTACCATCAACACAAAAATCACACACAATACATTCGAATTACTATATCCCGAAATATGATGGCGCTGAAGAGTGCGATGCGCGAGCGATAGAGAAAGAGCGCGATTGAGAGAGAGCGAGAGCAAAAGAGAGAGAGAGTAAGCGAGCGAGAAAACAAGCAAAAGCAAACGACGGGCTACAAATTGCAATAAAATTTCAATGTACGAGATGTTTATTTGGTTTTTTTGTCTGTATTAGTGTACAATAACGGTATCAATATATGGTTTGCACTCATCCATATTGAATGCCTACCAAATAAGTAGAGGAAGAAGAAGAAGCAAGCATTGAACAGAGAGTTGAGCATAGACAAAAAAAAAAATCAGCATTTCACCCCAGCTCAGTTTGTGCTCGTTTTGTAGCTGGCGATCGGGGATGTGAGTGTGTGTTATTGTACGCGTTTACGCGATGCCGAGAGAAGAAAAGTGTGTAATGGTAAATGGTAGCGATAGATGCGGTTCGTTTGAGCAACTGGCAAACAATACACATGTACATCTGAATGGTGTGTGCACACAGCAGAACTGGCGAGAGGGAGAGTGAAGTGAAAGACGGGCACACGAAAACCATGCTCACACATTGTCAAATGTTGGGATTTTTGGTAAATAGAGGCGAGTGAAGCGAACCGAATGTGCACTATAGTCAATAAATGAAGATGAAAAGAAAAAAAACGAATTACATACACCGAAAAATGGGAGTAAAATATTTTTGAATGGTTTTAATACGTATAGCACTACAGTGTATCCTAACAACATTCGCTTCATCACAAATGGAAAACCGCTCATGTTTTAATAGCACTTACAGGGACAAGCGGTAGTTTTCGAACTTTTGGCTTCAGCCATTCCTCTTCTTCTTCTTCCATTTTTTGTTCGGTTTTGATTCTTTGTGTTTCTCTCTTTCTCTCACATCCACACACGCAGACACACACACACACAAACTCATTTCTCTGCTGTTGTGTGGCATTGTGTCTTGTTCCTTGCATTTTGGTTTAATATTTCATGCATTTATGTATTTTCGGCGGTTTGATCTTATTTGAAGATGCTTTTGTCTCTCTATATATTATAATACAAATATACCGATAGAATATAAAACAGATACAAACGGTGAAAAAGAGAGCCGAGTACCCCTTCTCCAGACGGCAGCCCCAGTGTTCGCAGCCAAAGAGCGGCCCGGGATCGAATAGGGAGTAAAATAGAATGAACCTGAGCTCTCGAATATACATCATGAACTGCATTTCATATTCCACTTCGCCTCGGTGTGTATATGTGTGCGCGCTTGTATGTAAATCCGCGTTTGCGATGCACATAAATGCGATTTTATAAATTAACATAATAAAAAAACGCGCGCGCACACATAAAAGATTGAACGTGAATAGATTTTCAATTGACGAAGCAGCGGTGATACGTAATACAAAATAAATATGCGAAACTATTTTCGGTTTTAGGAAGGAAATCCAAACAGTATCATAGTAGCGTGTGCTGCTCTCAATTCTATTTTTTTTTGTTTCGTTGCCTTCTTCATGTCCTTTTTTTTTCATTTCGGAAGAAATTGGTGGAAATTTGCCAAATATTATATAAAACAGGTTCACAGAATGAGTGCGAGAGGAAAAAAATGTTTTCCTGCTGAATGAACTCGTCGAAATTATTGTATAAGGTTATTAAATTTCTTCTTTATTAAAGAGTAAATATTTTTACTTGTTTCCATTCAAACAGCATCTTTGTTACAATCGTTATTCATTGCTAGGATGCATTTTTTTTCAGTGCTATTAAATTACATTGTATTTGGTGAAACATATCTTAATAGCAACAACAGTCGATCGGTATTAATATGAAAAGTAATAATAATCGCTTAGAATGTTAAGTAGATTGATATTTGCTGTGCATGCTTTATCTCTCCCTCTACTCCTTTCTCTTTTTTCTTCATCTCTCTCTCTCCCTCTTTCTCTCTATCTAGTGCCGTCGTGTAAATTTATTTGCTCAGATTTTATAAGTTTGCATCGTTTCGGCACATATAACAACGATATAATGACTTTAACTAGTAGATAGGTATCTGGTGTGTAGTAGGTTCGAGCAGAAAGAGCTCTATCTCAATTTTTCTTCTTCTTCGTATCGTATTTATAGCACTTACCGGTTGCCGCACGATGTGTTTGTGAAAAGCAGCAAATCCTTTATTTACACTCGATTCTTATTTATTTAAAATCTTATTTTGCTTTATTCAATAGCGTCGTTGTCAGGGTACGTGTATATGTTCTATCAAATTGTTTGATGCGTTCTCTATTTCTCTATCGCCCCCTTTGCCGTCTCGGTGCTATCTCGTTTGGGCTTGTATTTGTAAAAGCAAATATTTTATGATGCCAACATGTGATGCTGAATTGCAAACACAGTGTATAAGATAAGGCATGAAGAGGAACGATAAAATCAAACATTGCAAGAGAATAGTGAAAATAACGAAATCAACTTTAACGAAAGAGAAGTGAAACTCATCGCCACTCATCGCTATCGAGAGTGATAAAAACTGAGGCCCATGTCTTTGAATTGTTACAATTTCTATAATATATAACCAAATGACTTTTTCAACACTTACATTTCAATTGAACCGCACGCTGTGCGCATTCAGATATAGACAGAGATAGAGAGAGAGAGAGAGAGAGAGAGAGAGAGAGAGAGAGAGAGCGTGGTGAATTTAATGCATCGATAATTTGTATATATTATTGATAGGTGATCATAAAAGCACTTAATTCGATCAAAAGAAATTTGAACTGATGCGAGAGTGAGAGAGAGAGAATGGAATAAAGGAGAGATTGAAATCCCCTAATTAAAGTGTTTTCCATTCGCATGCGTTACCATTCTAATTAGAATTTGTGACAGTTATCCACCGCATTTGAATTTATAATTGGAGCTCCGAAAACATTCTCGATTTATGCATCACACACACGCACATAGTCATTGCCATAAAGTTTCGAGTCGAAGTTAATTAAAATTAATTACAAAGTTGTCATTCATTTGGAGGCTGGTATTAAAGCTAAATTACTGATACTCCCTTCGATAGAAAAATTTGTTCGTCAAAAATTAGATGCACGAAGTTTCGTTTACATCCATAAAGTATTTCGGTGTATAAAAAATCCATTAAAAACAGAGACTGCTTCTCAGAGCAATGTTCAGTGAGAAGATTTGAATTTTAAAATTTTGTGTTTATATATCGTGTCGACTTTTCACCACATCGGGGTAGTTTCGTCACTCGTGCGAACTGCCGTCCGCTGTGAACATAATAAATTATTTTCATAAAATGTTAAAAATTTTGCATCGTAGAACATCATTTTCTACTTTAGACAGAAAAGTTGCTATCGTTTTTTTTTTGCTGCTGCTCCTTTTAAACCTGTAAACGTGCGCAAATATTGAATGGATTTTTTCTTGCATTCCTTTATTTTGCCATAGTGCTCGTTTGCTCATTCTCTCTGTTTCGTCGATAAAGTTGTATTTCTCGTTATTGTTGTGTGTGTGTGTTTTTTTTATTCTCCCATTCACCCGAATAAGTAAATGTTCGCGCGTTCAATATAACATGTACTTCAACTGTTGTTGGTGTTGTTGTTGGCTGCTTTTGCTGATGCTGTCGATGAGCAACCGTGTAGTTCTGTGCACAGATGTGCAATATAATTTGAGATATTATGTATTAAAACGCATGTGTCCTGAATCGTATTTTACGAAAATTTGTTGTGTTTGCTTTCGATGGTTGTTGTTGCCCGTCGCTGCTCTTACGAATATATTGTATTTGATTGTCAATTTAACCCTCATAAAATGATTCATACAATGTAATAATCAAAAAAAAAGAGAGAGAGGAAGATACAGCGCACACATACTCACAACAGCACATGTACTTGCAAATGCACACACTTTCCGGGGCTTTATGCCATAAACATTCATCATTTTCAGCGCAGTAACAGCAAAATGCAACTACTTCTTGATGATGTTGGTGCTGTTGCCGTGCCATTGTGCAAGAGATGAAAAATGATGGTAAAAATCGTAATCGATCCAGAAAATATTTCACTACCACGGCAATGTAATCATTTCAGATCATGAAATGGACTCAACACCATCAAATCGATTTTAAAGTTGTCACAGCATCTTGGTAATTTTTTTTTTCATTCGGATCGCAGTTTATCATAGATTGGACTTCGTTGAACCTTCGTTTCCAATAAAATACAAGTTTTGACATTGGCTTGATGTGACACGAAAGTGAAAAGAGACATACACACACCAATGACTTTGATGATGACGAAATTTCATGGAAAAAATATGTTGTCGTAATAGAGACAATTCGGGGAGAATATTGGCATTATCATTGTTTTTATTGCACACGGACGCTAACACCACCGTTTCGCGACTTGCTTGTCATCATCATCCCAATTTTAGAGGGCTTATGGGAAACGTCGTCAGTTTTTTAAACATTCAATGGAAGCCAATTTAACATATAGAGCCCTTCTATAAAATACCTCTATATGCCTACAATATTCTGTCATTTTTCGATTTCAGACTGAAATGAGTTGTAGGGAGATAGAGTGGAAAAATGCTAATGCGACACATTTCCTTTCATTTCATCTCACCGGATTTTAATTTTTCATTTTTTTTTTCATCCCAATGACACGATTTTTTATCTTTATCACTCAAGGTGCCGTTTTTCTTCTCGCATCGCATCGTAGCATTTTTTTACTGTGAAAAAAGAAGATGAAAAAAATAAACTTTTTATGTATTGCAATCTCATGACGAATATTTGTCATCGTTTAATTGGATAGCATTTGCGCGATGTTCTGTCGTTACATTTCGACGAGAAATAGAGTGACCGAGAAAGACAGAGAGAAGAGAAGGAAAGATAGAAAAAAGAATATACGATTTACCGAGAACGCTGACGAAAATTGTAATGAAT